CTTCTCCACTGGGGAAAGTCTTGCTCGCGGGTTTTTCGAAGGTAGCGTTCGTGCCGGCCATCTTGTCTTTCGGATAAGCCCAAGCAGTCACTTCTTCGTCGGTATTATCCTTAGTGTTCCTGAATTTGATTGTGATTTTCTCGCCCTTGATTTGTGGAGCTTCCAAGAGGAAACGCAGTGTTTCATGATCCACATTGGAAGCAGTCCGGGAGGGGGTCTTTGAAGTAGCTGTTTTTGTTGCTGCTACTGTGCTGAATCGGCATTGCTAAGTTTGGGCCATGTCTGCGTTTGCTGGGTGCTGAGCTGAGTGATATGAATATGTTTTGTTGTTATTGGAGTGGTCTAAGGCAGGTGCGCTGCTCCTTTTTGGAGTTGTCTGGCTTTTTTCGTTTATTGTTTTTTCGGAAATTTTCCTTCTTTTTCTTTTTTTTTTTTCTTTTGCCTCTAATTGTGTTCCGGTTTGATCTACTCACTGCTTGTTTACTGATTATTGGTCAGTTATGTCAGGTGTCAAGACTGATTGGCCACTTGTTCTGAGGTGAGTTGGGTGGTGTTTTCCTTGCATGCACAACCACGAGCCAGAGGTGCGTGTTCTGAGGTGATCTGGGTGGCTATTGTCTTGCTTGCATGGCCGCAAGCCTGTGCTATTTTACGTTATCGATAACTGCCTCTTTTGGAGAAATTTTGTGGTGACGTGTAACCGCCGGTTCAGGGCTGCTGAGGAGGGAGGAGAGGGGAAGGCAGAGCTGGTGAAAGGGGGAGGACGGGGGGGAGGGGGCATATTTAGCGGTTTTGTTTTTAATCAGTCCATGTTGATCATGGGATCTCTTGGAAATTGAACTTCGGGCTGGCGGATTCAATCCAATGGATTGAATGCAGATCTACGTGGCACTACTCTTGGATTAGAGGGTGCATGGGGATGATGCTATCAAATCGAGAAAATACGGGAGGGGCAGGGATTTTTCGTTGTATCTTTCATGCAGGTGCGGGAAGCGTCAACAGAGTAACGAGTAGGAGCTTCACATGGGGGGTATCAAATCGAGAAAATACGGGAGGGGCAGGGATTTTTCGTTGTATCTTTCATGCAGGTGCGGGAAGCGTCAACRGAGTAACGAGTAGGAGCTTCACAAGTCGTGATCGGTTTTCGCCACCTGAGGGCAGGTGACGTACTTTATGTGCTAAAGATACTGATGGTGGGGTTGGGGATTGGGGGGGGGCTGTACAGAGTGGACGGGCATTGTGATGATTTAATCTTTGTAGCCTTCTGGCTTCCTAGATTATCTTGAGAGCGAGCGGTTAGATGGGGTGTGCACTGTCCGGTCTGAGTAGAGGGGGGATTGGGTGGTGGTGGCAAATGGGCAGTGTGAAGTGAGAGTGTTCAAGGGTAATGTGGAGTCAGAGACTGTTGGTAGGGGCTGGCTTGGGGATGAGAGTGTACGCCGATTGGTTGGTTGGGGGGAGGGGGGGGGAGGTGGAAGTGGCCGGATGGGGTGGGGAGTGATGTTATAGACCTAGTTGGGCTTGATTCGTGAGTCGGGACAGAGCGGAAGGAAAATAGTGGGATGGTATTCGAGATTGGGGCGTTACTGCAATGAATTGCAGTGCTACAAGCGGACTGTATACTAATTTTGTCCCTGTCGTCATTGCCGGGATTTGATCCCGCAACCTTGGTTGTTGTATTGCCTGTTTGTTTGTTGTTTGTGTGTTTTGTTTGTGAGTGTTGTGCCCTATGGGGCTTGATCCCTGTGTCTGTCACTAGTAGTCTCTGTTTGGTAGTCCTAGGCCATCCAGCCTGTTTCTTTTGCTTTGTCATAGGTCTCGGCCCCTCTTCCCCTGTTTCCATCTAGATACAGATAGGTAGTAGGTTGTTGATTTGGGGAGGTCGTCGAATTTCATCAGTGTCGGGTGACCCTCCAGTCACGAACCTTGCCCGCAGACGGCAGGGGATAACCGTTTGGGCCGCTGCTGAGGTTCCTTCGACAGGCTGTTGATTAGAAGACTCTGGGGAATATTCGCTGCAGGTCTGACATGGACGTCAGACTGCTCTACAGCGATTTGCTGCAGTGGCTGGTAAACGGTTGACCAGCCAGACATCTTCAATCAAGGCTTGCTCAAGTGAGTTCGTTCCGTGAATTTCATGGCCCGACGTCAGATCCTGTCAGTGTCTGTCAGAGTCCGTCAGCGTCAGTCCACGTGCAGTCTAAGATCAGACTGGTTGTCAGTTGTCCTTGGTTGGTTCTGACCCCCTCTCTGAGTCCGTTCGAATCTGATGAATGGAATGTTATTGACGTATCCTGACCTCACATGATTGCCAGCCAGTTCTGCAAATGCCAACCGTGAACAGTGTGTGTCCCAGCCGTCAGTTCGGTCTGTCAGTCAGTCCAGTCAGTTGGCAATTACTATAGGCAGTCAGAAAAGGGTCAGTCTGTTAATGATGACTTCTGTCTGCATCAGATGTCAGGTCGTCAGTCAAATGGCATATTCCTATCTCGATTAGAGCACGGATTTCCCAGACGGCATTTGCAGGAAAAAGAGATCGGCTCCAGTTTTATTTTTTTTCTTGATTGCACAAATAAGGTATCTCTCTCCCTTGCTGTGGAATGCTAACAGTGTTGGGAAGGCTCTGCAGTGAGCTTGTTCAAAAACAATTTTGTATTTTGTTCGGGTTCCAGGCTCAGATGTAGCCGTTCCGTTGACTGTTTTGGCTGTTTGCCTGAGACTGAAACCTCCCAGACTGTTCTTCGACATTTGGCACTACCTGCCGTGTAACCCATACCTTTAAAACAGCACAGTCTAACTGTGGCATACTGCGTAGCCACATGGGCCTGCAGGGCCCGACCAGCGTTCGCAGCCTAGAAGCCTGAAAATAAGGGCTTACAGGCCCTGTGTCGTTTCATCCTGAAAGCCTGAAAACAAGGGCCTGCAGGCCCTATGTCGTTTCAACGTAAAACAGGGCCGTCCAGGCCCTGAGTCTTTTCAGCCTGAAACAGAGGGCCACTTTCGGGCCCTCTAAGATCGACCTGCCCTGACACTCAGGCACCAAACCAGGGTTTTAGGAACAGGCTATTTTTGGCCTGTTCCCACGACAGCCTCAGCACGAGCTGCAGTGCCAGGCCCTGGCTCGTTTTGGCAGTGGCAAGAGCAGCCTCCTGGACTGCCCCGCCCTGCAACTGCAGGCAGTTGGAGGCAGTCAGGAGGCAGGCCGAGGTAGTACATAGGGAGTTCCCATGCACTTCACGGGTAGGCAGAAGGCAGGAGTAGTCTTCAGGATTCGGCAGCAGCAC